ACATAATAAAAGATTTGAGGAAGAGTTTTACTAATCAGTGGAATGTGACCCAAAAATTCTAGCATGGGAAGTGATAGAATTAGAATATGCTGTTTCTTAGATTCCTATGTTGTTGACTGTTTTATTTAAAAATAAATGAAACCCTAAAGTTTCCTTTATTGTACTGAACAAATGAACTCAGGCCTTGTTACCGTAACTTCATAAAAATGTCAGTACAGAATCTAATGTTGAATGCAATCGCTTCTTTTGTACATATTTTATTATAAATCTGAATATCCTGGCCTGTCTAGGGGACTAGTAGTCAAGCTACAATCTATCAACTCTAAATTTGATGGTTTGTTTTTTGAATAACCATTACTAAAAGAGATTACACTGGGAAAGGCTGCACACCCAAGTAGATAAAAAAATTAGCAGTAAGTAGAGATCCTATAGGGCAGTGCTTCTCAAGCTATCTGATGTGGGAGACCGGCAATTTTTCCCCCCAATGTACCAGGGACCGGTGCCATATTATTATCCTATTCGACGTTCTTATGAGGAAACTTGCAGCCGATGGCTCGGTCTGCGGACCACAACTTTGAGAAGCACTGCTATAGGGAATGGAAAGGAAAAAAGGAGTGATAGCAAAAGTTGCTGCATCTTGGAGGTTAAATGTATGAATAACATGAGAATTGCTTAAAAAATCAAGCTGAATTAACGCTTGCCAAGGAAATTAAATGATGAGGTTTTTTTTGTTTTTGTCTTTGTTTTTTTGTTTTTAGTTATGTAAGTAAAAGGAAAATGAGGAAGGATGAGGTTGGGCCACTATGCAGTGTAGATGGGGAAGGAGATTTAAAGATAATTTAGGTATGGCCCAAAAACTAAATTAATACTTTGCCTCAGTTTTCAATAACAGAATATGGGTATGAAGGGCAGGTTGGCTGATGGAAATGAGTGTAGAGAAATGGAAATTTCCATACCTGAGGTGGAAGAAAATCGTAGCTAAGGCCATGTCTACCTTACAAAGTAGGAGTGGGCTAATGAAATTTGCTGAAGATACAGAGTTGGGGGGGCATCATCAGTACACAGGAGAATCGTGTTATACGGAAAGATGTGGATGACCATGAAGACTGGAGTAACAAATAGGAAGAAATTCAATAGTACAAAATGCAAGATCGTACACTTAGGGTCTAATAATAAGGATTTCTACTGTAAACTGCAAAAAGAAGAACAGGAGTACTTGTGGCACCTTAGAGACTAACAAATTTATTAGAGCATAAGCTTTCGTGGACTACAGCCCACTTCTTCAAGTACTCCTGTTCTTCTTTTTGCGGATACAGATTAACACGGCTGTTACTCTGAATACTGTAAACTGGGGGCTCATCGGTTGGAAAAAAGAGAGACCTGGCTGTGTTGGAGATCACAAGATAAGTTTGAGCCACCAATGTGATGCCACTATGAAAAAGGCAAGGGTGATCCTGGAATGTATCCTGCAACGTGTTTTCAGTAGCGAGCGAAGTATTAATGCCATTCTACAAGGCACTAGATCTAGAATACCATGTACAATTTTGGTCACTCAAGTTCAAGGAAGATGAATTCAAACTGGAACAGGTACAAAAAAGAGCTATTATGAGGAGCAGGGGAATGGAAGGCCTATCTTATGATAGGAGACTGGAAGTGCTTGGCTTGTTTAGCATAGCAAAATGAAGGCTGAGAGCACATAGGAGTGCTCTCTATACATCCATCAAAAGGGTAAACACTGGAGAGGGTGAAGAGCTATTTAAGCTAAAGGACAATGTTGGCACAAGAACCAAGGAGTATAAACAAATTCAGGCTGGGAAGTCGAAGAAGGTTTCTAACCATCAGAGGAGTGAGGCTTTGGAATGGCTTCCCAGGAGGAGTAGTGGAGGCAAACTACTTATTAGTTTTGAGAGAGCTGGACAAATTTATGAATGGGATTTTATACCAGGGTTGCTTGTGATGGTGGGGAAAGGGCTCGGCAGCCTTGGGGATCTCTTCTGGTTAATGTCTTTTGTTCCTAAAAATCTCATCCCTAGGACTCTTAGGTGGCACCGAACACACTCACACTCTCTCTCACACACACACACACTTTCAGTTGCATGGCTGGTTGGTTCTCCCTCTCAGGCTCCGATTGCCGAAGGAATTTCCGCCCAGGACAGATTGGCAGTGACCTTTGGTTGTGTTTTTTTGTGTTCCTTTGCAGTGTGTGGTGTGGGTTACTTGATGAGATTATCTGGGTATATCTCACTTAATCAGTTCTCTGTTATTGCAGGGAGCTCTGGCATTGGTGCCCCTCAGTCCCTTCTATTTTCTGCCTGTGGCACAGAATAGTTTTAGTCTCCTGGAGGCTGTAAGTTTGGTTGTTGAATTTAGTGTGCGGGTGCGGAGTGGTGGTTTATGATATACAAGACTAGATGCTGGTGCTCCCTTCTAGCTTTAAACTCTCTCTGACTCTAAAATGGCATATGATTGAAGCTGCATTAAATTTGAAAATGTATTTCTGAACTAGATACAGTAACTCCTCACTTAACATTGTAATGTCCCTGAAAAATGTGACTTTAAGTGAAACGATGTTAAGCGCATCCAATTTCCCCGTAAGAATTAATGTAAATGGCGGGGGGAGGGTTAGGTTCCAGGGCAGCTTCCCTTACTCTGCAAGCACCAGGGGTGGGGGGGGCTGAGCCCTCAGCCTGCCCACTCCACCCCTTGTCCCAAACCCCCACCCTTGACCCACCTCTTCTCCCCCCTCCCTCCTCCCCCTTTACTTTGCACGCTGCGTCCTGGCTCCTCCTCCCCCCTCCCTCCCCTCCCTTCTAAACGCTGCAAGCCAGCTGGCTTGCTGCATTTGGGAGGCAGGGGGAGGGAGGGGGGGAGGCGCACCGAATCCTCGCTCCTCCCCCCTCCCTCGTGCCCAGGGCAATCAGCTGGCTTGCGGTGTTCGGAAGGCAGGGGAGGGAGGGGGAGCCTGCGTGCTGAGTCCTCGCTCCTCCCCCCTCCCTCATGCCTCCAAAACGCCTTACGCCAGCTGATTGCCGTGGACAGGAGGTGAGGGGAGGAGGAGGAAGGCGCTGATCCGGTCTGCCGGTGGGTGGGAGGCGCTGGGGATGGGGGGTTCCTAGGGAGGCTGCCAGCTCTGGAGAAAGTAGGCAGCCAAACAACGTAAGAGTGGAGCATTGCACAACTTTAAAGGAGTGTGTTCCCTAATTGATCAGCAATGTAACAAGGAAACAGTGATAAGCGTGACGACTTTAAGTGAGGAGTTACTGTAATTTAGTCTACAGCTTTTCCCCATTTTTTTATTAGTCAGTTGAAAGGCTTGTTACATCTGAATTTTATAAAGGAAAAGTTCTTATTTCACCATAGATTATTAGATCTTGGGAGAAAAGAGCTTGGTGGAAATAAAATGTGCATCTATGAAGGAAAGATGGTAAAGCAACAACACGATCCAACTGGTCCAACACACAAAATAGTCAACAGTATGCAGGTTTACAGAGTGGATCAGGTCAAGGCAGTACATACACACATCATTCCTTATGGACAAAGAAGAATACATAAAACACTTAAGAGAAACCTTTTAACATCAGTTTGGACAAAGTGTTTTGCCTTCATGTGGGAGAAAACAAACTATCCTTTTGGTATGTACCCATGACTCAGTTAACAGGTGATTTAACACATCAGTGAAAACAGAGGAAAAAGCAGAGAAATTATGGGCATGTCTTCACTGGCAACATTAAATGGCAACGCTCTCCCAGCGCTCTAAAAAAACCCACCTCCATGAAGGGTATAGCTACCAGCGCTGGGAGCCGGTACACTGGCATTTTACAGCGCTGAAACTTGCTGCGCTCAGGAGGGTGTCTCTTCACACCCCTGAGCAAGAAAGTTCCAGCGCTGTAAATTGCCAGTGTAGAAAAGCCCTGAGAAGGGATACCATGTGAAAACCCTTTAGCCTATGAATAAAGTGTGATCATAATGGGGCCTGTATGGTCTAAAAATGTTTTGCAACCTCATCCAGCATTAAGACCACAATTCAAGGTTGCTGTTCCTGGAGTGTTTGACTATTTCCTTTGTCTGATTGTGAGGGTAGATACTAAATTCTCTTTTCCTTCTGAGATTGAAGGAGGATGTGGAGACTTCTCATATTTCTTAAACCGTTAGATAATTTCAGAGCTAATCAAGGAAGGATTTATTTCAGTGTTCTCTCAGAACTTATTTTTATTTCCCTGATTCAGTTCTCTCTGAACTTGAAAACTGAAAGTGCTGTTAAAGCCATGCTCAGTTTGGTTCCCTTCCCAATCAAAATTTTTGTCTCCAGAGCAAGTAGATGCCCAGGCTAATGTTTATTAACAGTAGTTAAATGCTGTCTGTTACCCATTTATCCAGGGGAGGAAAAATATGAAATGGGAATTTCTCTGAGGTGCGAAGCTTGGAAACAATTTGTCAAAATCTAGGGTATTGGGCACACTTCCTCTTTATCCAACAAATATCTAATTCAAAACATTGTAAGACTGTCATGTGACTGCTGACATTTGGACAGTTATCTGCAAACTACTCTCAGAAGCATGACGCTACCTCATTACTGCTGTTAAATTCTACCTCCTCAGCCTTTATAGTTGACCTTATAAAATCCTAGCTTTAAAAATTACCTTACAGCTTTTAGTTTTATGCAAATGATTTGCTGAGACATAAGCACTTACAATTAGATTGCTTACCTTGAAGTATGCATTTTGGAGGGAGTGTTCTGCATGCTGTGCTAGAAAGATTTTTTTGTTTGTTTTTGTTTGTATTTTAGATTAATATGATTCCCATTTCATCCAGTTTTTTTACTTAATGATTTTCCTGTTGTGAGGATATGCTTTTGAAAGAGAGATTAGAACTTCATCTAGAAATGTCTTCTCAAAGATCGCCGCAACCAGTCTGACTTTGCTTTAACTGATAAGGAAAGAAGAAAATTTTCATGATTATAGTTAAGTTTTTAAAAAATAGCGTTCTGTTATATTTTAGGGCGAAGCCTCCGTATGCAAGTTTAACTATGAAATTAGTCTTCTGGCAATGAGTTGAAATGGTGTGTCCTACTTGAGGCTCAGCCCATGGTTGTAAGATCTTATGACCATTTCAGCTGAGCAGGACAAAAATCAGTAGTGAGGACATTTGGTGAACTTGGTCGCTTAAGGAAAAAAATAAATTCAGGTAAGACAAATTTCCCTTTCCTTGGACTATGCAGTCATCCACTGATGATGCATACATGCATGCATACAGAGATTTTTGTCGTAAGGCTCTATGTACACGTCAGCTGTATTCAAAATAAATACCAAAATATTTTTGTCAAACAGAAAAAAGAAAATCAGAGAATTGTTGATGCTGACTTTAGGGAGGTGTTCAAACTGATTAAAAATAAAATTATCCATTTTTTATTAACTTGTAAATAAAGTTTACAATAGTTCCCTACTTTTTCTCTGTAGATGTTGAATATTTCTGAATGGAGAACAAGTTTCTTATTGCATTCACACTCCTGAAATTTAGATGAAATATAAAAAAGTTAATTTTAAATCTTAAAATGACTAAAAAGAGAAACATCTAATAGCAAGTGAGTTCAGGTTGCTTTCCTTTCTTGATCTTCCTTTTGTGTATAATTTGGACCCGCGGGATGCCAATTTTGATATCCCAGTGTGCCCCTGCCATCTAGAATGAATGCTAGTGAACCTATATCTGTAGTACCAGATGTTCCAGTTTGGGCTACTGTCTCCTTTCCTGAAGGTTCTTCATGATTATAGCAGAAGTTGCAGCAACAAGCTAGCCATAAATATGCTACTTCAAGGCTAGTTATTTTGGCTCCTTCCTAGGTTCCAGAAATACAAGCAGTTTTCTAAATCATTTTAGTTGTTCCAAAATCTGATCTGCTGTGTCCTGCTTTAAGGACCAAATGTTGCATCCTGACCACTGATAACCACTTAGAGCTCTTGTAAACTATTGTATAATGCAGGGGAAACAGAATGTGTCTGAGGGTATTGAATAAATGTGAGTACCGTCATTGGAGATATCTGCCTTTTTCATAAATTGAGATTGACCTAGGATGAGGGTGATTAAAACTGATTTATTGTATTATTACACTTCCCTGTGACAAGTAGAAACTCTGGTATTCTCTCTAAATCTAGGCCCTAAACTTCTTTTTTTCTAGGCTAAAATTTAGATCCTCTGAACATGTTTGTTCTATTCTGAGGTCAAGGGTCTCTAAAGAATGCTCAGCAACAGATAGACTTTATTATATATCTCTGAGTCTTAGAATCAAAGAGGTACCCTTTCCCTCTTCATTGCTGAGCCTGTTCCGTAAATATTACTATGCTGGGTGGAAAGGTTTCAAGTGGTGTAGTATGTAGAATAGCGTTATGGTCATCCTACTTTCTTGCACAAACAGTATAGATTGATGTTCCTCACCATGAGCTCTCTCAGAGCTTGCTATCAATCAGATGTTTTGGTGAATGGAGAGTAAAATAACTTATTACTTGCACAGATGCTTCTTTACTTTCTTATATTCCCAGCTGCCTATTCTGATCTGCATTTTTGTGTGTAAACAGTTCATCCTTGAACTATGTGCTATAACAATAGTTATTTGTTGAGGCTATCTATTAATCATCAACAAATTTTTATGTTGGAAACTGCGGAAGTCTCTGTTAGGGCTGAGCAGTACATGAGCATGACTGAATGGGAAGGAAGATGCCAGAAATGAAAGTTCTGTGATTCACTGCTGCTTGCTCTCAGCAGGGAAGAAACAATCCATCAATCTGGATTGATGGATGAGGATGCAGAAAAAAGGCCTTTGAAAGAAATACTTTTGGCGGGGATATTTAAATGTTCTTATTCTGTATTAAAAATGCAGATGTCAACATTGCATTGATGCATGATAAGTAAAAGTGAAACTGACCCTTTCGTTATCAAATCTCAATGAAGAGCAAAAAGGAAAGTTGGCACAAATATTGAAAAATCTTTCAGAAATGTTTTTAATGTAAGATGGTGACATAATGTAGTTTTAACCCTCCCCCCGTTTATATTGACAATGACTTTATTCTATAGATGCTAAAATACTGTCCAGTTGTCTATATCATATATGGAATATGATTCAGCATCTGATTCATCTTTTGTATTTTGGCTTAGTCTATATTTGAATCTAATAGAAGCTATTGCAACCACTTACTGCTGTTCAAGTTGCTTTTCTGAGGACCAGGATGACTTATTTTCTTAGGCTATGTCTGCACTACAGACCTTATAGCTGCACAGCTGTACCACTGCAGCTGCAATGCTGTAAGGTCTCCTGTATAACCGCCCTATGCTGGTAGGAGAGAGCTCTCCTACTGGTATAATTAAACCACCCCCAACTCTAGCTATGTCTGTCAGAGACTTCTCTTGCCAACATAGCACTGTCCACACCAAAGCTTTTTGTCGGCGAAACTTTTGTCAGTCAGAGGTGTGTGGTTTTGTTTTGTTTTTTTCCCCCCCACGCTCCTGACCAACAAAAGAGTTGCTAACACAAGTGCTAGTGTAGAAATAGCCTAAGTCTCCAAATTTCCACTATGCTATTCAACAATATTCTCTTCTCTTAGCTCATGTTAAACTAGGATAAGGATAGGAACAGCCGGTAGGCCAATCATATCTCCTCAGCATTGCAATTTAGTGTAATTCAAGGATCTCTTTTGGGCAACTATAATATTTCTGAAGTGATTCTGTCAGAGAAAGTATTACAAAAAAAGAAAGATGCAATTGCTAACATGTAAGTAAAATCTTCATATATTTCTGTAACAACAAATATTTTTGGAAAATTGAAAAATGCTTTAAAAAAACTTTTCAAAGAGGAATGGCCAGGTTAAAATCACCTTTTTAAAAAGTGTAAATATATTTTTAAAATTTCAGTTTTAAATTACCTTTTGCTGTACTCTCCATTTACATTTCTCACATATTAAACAATGCAAATAGATTAGCAAATTTCACTTTTGTTTATACTCCATAGCCAAACTTTTTCATTTTCTTACGTTCTAACAGTGTTGCATTGTTTGATTGCGGACACCAAATTATTGTTGAAACTATATAAATAAAATTGAAATACTTAGTAAAATTAGCTTTACAAAATTTACACGGACCAAATTTGACCTCAAAATACTTCTGAAATTAAGCTGAAGGTAATAAATTGGTAATAAAACTATTGGAAAAAAGTTCAGATTATTTTTACAGACTGAAGTACTGTTTCAGCATAGAATGTTTTAATTTTTCTTGTAAAATGGATTAGTATTGATATATGCTATTCTTTTCATTAATTCATATAATTTAATTTGCTGATACCTTAATGAAACCATGTTTTAAAATTAAAGTAAAATTTGGTTCCATTGGCAAAATAGAAGCTCTCTTGTATCGAAATGTTTCAACAGAATAGTGTATTTGTTTTGTTTTTTGATTAGAGGAACTGGGATGTGCTTGACTAGAGTTTTTACCTTTTTTTAATTGTGGAGGGTGGGGTGAGAAGGGGCTTCGTCTTTATACCTGTCAGACCTTGGTCTTGCTACTACATTGGGGTCTCATTCCTGCTCCATCCAAGCATGACTAGATCGGAGTGCCTTAGAAGGTCATCAGTGCTGTTTTTTAATCGATGAAAGAGGGTCATAATATAGTGTCACAAGGCATTTTTCCACCACCAGAACTGAAAGTGATGCCTCTTCAGTGCAGTCAATTTATACTTTTAGGAAGTGAGAGATTAGAGCAGGGATGGCCAAACTGTGGCTCTTTTACCATTAAAGTGTGGCTCACAGGCCCCCCTCATGTCTCTGCCCCCATTCTCCACCAACCAGACTGGGGGGGGGGGGAGAGGAGGTGGGGAAGCTCACGACCTCTGCCTTGCAGCAGGATGGTGGGGGTAGCGGTAGGAGGGGGGTCTCGAGGCTTCAGCCCTGTGGGGCGCACCTGCCAGGGTTTGGGGCTTCAGCAGGAGCGGGGCTGAAATCCCAACCCCGGCAGGTGCCTCCTGTGGGCCTGAAACCCCAAGCCCTGGCAGCTGCGCCCCGGCTCTCAAACTTCTGAAGCTTGTCTTATGTGGCTCGGAGAGTCAGTAAATTTGGCCACCCCTGGATTAGAGGAACTGAATCTGGGTCATTTGCATGGCAATGCAGAACATTGCTCCTGTAAGCAACTCCACTGACTCAAGGAATTGTCTTTTTACGTGCAAGAGAAAATGGTAATCAAGTGACGTGAAATGGAATTAGAGTACTACATTAGCTGAATGAATATACTTTTTAGTTCTTTTTGCTAAAAAATACACTGTTTCTTTTGTTCTTTGGACTGGTCAGGACAGGAGTAATGCAGAGAGAGTGCACACTCGGCCCTTAAGAAGAGGGACTACATCTTGTTTGTCTCTATATAGTAACCTCTTCTGAGTGTTTTAAATAGCAGCATCAACAGGCTGTAAAGGAAAGTTTCTTCTAACTCTCTACCAGACGATGATGGCTATAATCTGTAGCATTGTGGTCTGAATCTGTAAAAGTAAGTGGGAATGGTAAAGGAATCCTGTGGACTTTTAACAGCAAAGAAGATAATTCCTGAACAACCAAATTGAACATTCTCAAAGGTTAACATCTATTCACAGGAATATAGATTATTTTGGAAGAGGCACACTGTGTTTTAGTGAATATGATAGTTATTGCCCATCATTGAAAAACTTAAATTTTTAAAGAAAAAAGATGTATTTTGCTGTTTTGGTTAATTACCTACATCTATTAAAAAGTGCAGTGAACACTCCCATAAAAAACAACAGATACAGAGGCAACAACCATTTAATCCCAGAGATAAATTGGAATTTAACAATGCAATTTATAATTAAATGTTTGATACAGCCTCAACATTAGCAACATTAAAGAGCAAATCTGTAATGTGCATCTGAGTTACAAACAGTGGACTGTTTTTTGTTCTGAATTTCCTCAAGTAATCCTACAATTTATAGTTTTAGTTCCAGTAGGGTTTGGGGTGGTGGGTTCTCAAAATCTGGGTCACCGCTCCAGTGGAATCTCTAGATGTGTTTAATTTTTTTCTATCTTTATGGAAATATGACCCCAAGTATCTGAAACTGTATACACTTCTTGTTCAAGATTAAAAAATTTACATATGTGGTTTTAGACTTTTGTGATCATAGGTGTGCAGGTAATTATGTGAAA